GATATAGATATGAATCTCTAAGGGATTAAGAATCAGTCAGTCACGCCCTTTTTTCAAGACTTCCGGGTTCTTAAGGGGTCTTTTTGAAAATTTCAGACGAGCATCCTTTAATTGATACTTTTACCTCGAAGCCCCAACCCCACGGGGTTAGAGTCACGCCMCGCTTAACAAAGTATTTATTTTAGTGGCCCTCAACTACCAATCAGATGGCCGTATGCTCCAAATTAACAAAGGACGATTTTTAGCCAATGGAAATTGTGGATATGTCTTGAAACCTGACAGGATGATCGACGGTAGGCAACACACTATCGCAAAAACCAATGAAAAAGAATTTATCATATAATTATCTATGAAATACCTATACTCTTCAAAAGTGAAAAAAACACATTCGAGGTTTCTCTATTTCGTAAAAGCAAGAAAAAAGGTATTTTAATTTGCATTTAAATGTAATTATATGATAAACAGAATACTGCATGATCGCTTGGAGATACGAATTTTATCTTCTCGTGTTGAAAGATCTTTTCAACACTCGAAGATAAAATCCGTATCTCCGCGCGCCCATGTAATATCATCTCTTTATCATACCATGATGATATGATATATGGTTTCATTTTTTCTTTTTCAGGCGATACTAAATTCGATCCCATGTCAGGGAAAGATCTTAATGGAGAGGCGAAAAAGCTTCTTAAGATTCGAGTACGTAAAATGCAACCATTTGTTATACTTTAGTATTTCACTGATATTTCGCTCGCAAATCTCAACGCGCAGCATATCCAGAAACCATCCAGGAGATTGGATGATTGCAGTGAAAACACATACCTTTAAAAATATTGAGAGCCGGGAAATGATCACATCTACAACATTGTAGCAGCATCATAAGTTGTGGTAAGATGGGAAGTGGAAATCAAGCTTTTAGACTTAGTAGAATGATCTATCTAACAACCTCGAGTTCTCTTGTGGAATGCATTTGAAAAGTGCTGTGACCTTGACATTGTTGAAATGCAACATTTCACCGAGGTACTCCCCGAACCTTGATGGTCGATCTTTCATGTCTACTACTGATGTATTATTGTGAATAGGTCATTAGTGGACAACAGTTACCCAAACCTAAAGACAGTATTCTAGGTGATCGAGGAGAGGTAYGTTCCAATCTACAGTGTGAGGCGACGCCATTTTGTGCAATAAAGTCATGATAAGAGAGATAGGCCTCGCATATTTTTAAATACAGCAAAACAGTTCATCTAAACCGACGTTTTTGTCTTTTCTTTGCAAATATAAATGGAATTGATACGTTTCTAAAAAGAAACCATAAAATAGGTTTTAGTGAGATTTTTAAGGGTTAAAAGTATGCCGGGTTGAATCTACCATCATGCTTTGCTGTATAAAATGGCGTCGCTGCACATTTTCCWATAGGAGCGTGCACGTTATAGACTGAAACATTCTGATCATCTATAAAAATTGAGAAATCATACAGTGATTGCTTACAGGTTGTTTTACGACTATAATTCTCGCACGCTGTTACATTTTGAAGATAGCACTAACACATTAATTTTGAAATGAACGTGGGCAAAAAAACAGTCAAAACAAAACAAACACATTAGCAGTAATTGAAAAAAAATAATATAAAAACAAAGCACAATAATTATCCTTAATGGTAATAGTTCATAATTCTTGTTTAGATTATAGATCCTTATGTTGAAATTGAAAGTATTGGTATTCCTGTGGATTGCTGCAAACAAAGAACAAAGACAGTAGAAGATAACGGTAATATTGACTGTCTGTCTGTCCTCAGTTATTCCCAGGATTTCAATTCCTTGTTTCCTTTTTGGACAAATACTTTTTGAAGTGGAAAAATTCTCAAGAAAAGCGTTCCACGATTTGCGACCACTTATTGTTCACGCAGACTAATGAATAAATAAATGAGAGAGAGAGGGAGAAAGAGAGAGAGAGAAAGAGAGGCCGTCTTCTCTCAGAGTCGAGATCTGTCTTTCAGTCAGACCCAGGCTTTGCTTATGTATATAGCCCCACTATTAGGATCTGTTTTTGARGTGAAATGACTCGCTTTTACCGGGATGATTTCTACTCAGTCGAAAGGAAAAAAACTCCAGCCCGTTGAACTTAGCCATCTCGTTTCATATAGCAAAACCWTCAGGAGCTAAATGTCTGTCTCAGTTTATTCTCATCTCATTTTGTTTTCTTTTTCCTCGTACAGGATTCAACCCCGTCTGGGAAGAAACGTTAGTGTTTCTACTTCGACTATCAGATCTWGTATTGATTCGTTTTGTAGTATGGGACGAAGATCCTATTGGACGTGATTTCATTGGSCAGTTTACTCTACCATTTGACAGTATAATGCCGGGATACCGTCATATCCACCTCGAAGGACTCGATCAGGCTACCATATTYATACATGTATCCATTACAGATTACCAGGGATGTAAGGTATATCATCGCTAGAACAAATGCATTTCGATTCATTATATAATTATCTATGAAATACCTATATTTCTCCATTTTGTGAAGTTGATTTTTTCACTAGTGAAAATAATACATTCGAGTTTTCTCTTTATAGTGAAAGTAACAAAAAAGTATTTTGCGACATAATTTGCTTTCATATGTTATTATATATATGATGAACAGAATAGTGCATGGTCGCATGGAGATACGAATTTTATCTTCTCGTGTTGAAAACCTTTCAATCGTTCGCTATGCTCACTCGCGAGAGATCTCAACACTTGAAGATAACAAATCCGTATATATTCTGTATATTAGAGCGAAATGCGTAAAAGTGTGGCCATTGTTAATATATCCGTAAAACAAGTAAAACAAAAGTATGCAAATACATCACACTTTTACGCGTYGYGCTGTAACACGCATTTTGTCAAGTCTTSACTTTGGGCTTCCTGTGTGKAAGAAAATGTTGATTGATGTTTAAAGTGCATATGAACCATTTTAGAAAATAATTTTTAACAAAAGGCAAATATGATGATAATCATCATATTGAAGAAGAAAAAGTTKTTTKAATTTTATTTTCTGAGTYAAAGGCATTTCAATATTGAAAATGCTAATGATGTGAGACCCATGTGACWTCAAGGGAGGCTTCATCAAATATACGAACATTGAAATGAGTCACTCAAAAGTGTTTTCATGAACGTCAACTGGGAAGATGATTATTCCCTAAATTGCCTACGATAAATTTAATGCCATGAAACCATTTTTCAGCGATTCCTTCAAAGTTCGTATACTTAATGAAGCCTCCTTTGACGGCACATCATTAGCGTTTTCAATTTTCAAATGCCTTTAACTCAAAAAACAAAACTCAAAAAACTTTTTTTTCTTCAAAACAATGATTAGCATCATATTTGCCTTTTGTTAAAAATGATTTTCTAAAATCGTTCATATACACTTGAACTWTTCGTGGTAGTTATGCCACTAAAGAGACGTAATCATATTATTTTGTAAAATTTATCAATCAGAGCCGTATTTTTTTGTTTATTCAGGTGAATGAAATACCAGAATACAAAGAAAGCAGACATCAGTCAGGAGGAGTAAAATTCAAGAAACGTTTGATGAGAAATAACACAGTCATGTGACTCCTGGAATTGTAACCCTGATTGTGATAGTAATCTTTACAAATTACACTTCTACATAGTGCCGTACGATTCTACAGTCAAATATTTAATAACCTTACACCCCAAAAAGATATTTAACAAACTACGGCGTTTGATCCTACGAATAGACAAACTTCGTAGTCTACTTATCACTATTAAATTCTCCGAAATGATCCGTTCATGGTTAACCAAGGCGGGCAAGATGTTTGCTGCGAGCCTCAAATGAACACGAGTGCTAAGTAATATTAAAATTATAACTTTGCAGGAAAAAATATTATTAATTTTCCTGACATTGCAAAAGGATAAGCAAGCTCTGAAGATACAACTTTTTTGGTTTTCACATCCTTTGTAGCTAGGTTTACTACAATTCAGCCACTGGCTGCAAATGTAAATTTTAATAAAGTATCTATCTATCTTTACCCGATTCTGCCTCGCTTTGTTGCCAAACAACAGGCTCCTCGAGCAGCAAAAGGGCTAATCCTAACGCACTTCATTTCCTCAAGAAACCGTATTGACTTCCAACAAATACAAATTACTATACTTAGCGCTGCAGCTGACAATTGAGAAAAGCTTCAGAAAGTTGGGTAATCAAACCAATGATGTAACTATGGTTACAGTCGTTGCCATCCTCTGTACTTGTGCCAATCAGAAACCTATAAGGGACTTGAAACGTGAAGCGTCATGCCATCCGTTGGAATATTCAAATCTAATTTGCATCTCATTTCCTTATGTGGAACAATTCAGTTTACCCTAGCCAACCAGAACGGGCTTTAAATCTCTTATCCAACGGCGGAATTTTCCAAATATGGTCATAACGTTCGTTTTCAAATTACTAAAGAAATGTACGGTCGCTACACCTTTCAAGTCCCTTATAGGTTTCTGTTGCGAGCCGCATTCAGCAAACGAAAGGACACACATGACAAAAAAACACAACAGGGTTTCATTCCCTGCTACATATGGCCCTCATTCCGTTGACGCACCCTCGGGTACTAACGACCAGAATACCCTCAAGCCAACCGGACGGGTATCCCGCGATGGAAACGGGAAAGGACCAACTCATCTACTGAAATATAAGACGCATACACTTTTTAGCACATCCTGTCCAAAGATAGCAGTGACTAGAACTGTCAACTGTGCCAGAAACTACAACCTTTGACATCCTGAGCATCCTGGAGCACCGAAGAATATTACACCCAATCACTGAAATTGAACGCAAAATTAATGAAGGTTACCATCTTATTACATCATCTGCTTGGCAAAACTCCCAAGGCGCCACAATTGGCTGTGTTGGCCTTTTGCTTTCCGCGCGTGCTACCGAAGAATTAAAATCTGTTGAGAAGATATCCCCACGTATTCTGGTGGCAAACTTCTACGGCAACCCACTATCCACCATCGATTAATATGCTTAAATTTTCTTTATCATGGACTAACAATATCAAGGTTTTGAATAATAATAATACGTAAGAAAGAATCACCCCAACACCCAACTTCTTCCATTCAAAATTTTAATGGATCGCCTCTTTCGTAGTCCTCTAACCCCACTAAGTTATATTTTTAGCACATTATGAATAAAGCGTCGATGATGCGTGATCGGGAAAATACCTGCTTGTAGTATTGTTTTGTTCAGGAAACTCATAAAAAGATATAACTTGCTTTTTACACGTTATTTTATAAATAATGAAGATGTATTTAATCTTAATAAGAATATATTTAGAGAAACATAATATAAGAAACGATAAAGAGAGAAAACACACGGTGTTTTGGTTTTTGTAATTGCGACGTTATAATTGGGAATAGCACTTGGCATGTAAATTTATTCTGTTAGCACTTATTCTGTTTGTAATATCTATTTATCTTCACTTGCTTGATAATGGCGTCATGACGACACCGAAACGTCGCAATTACAAAAACCAAAACACCGTGTGTTTTCTCTCTTTATCGTTTCGTATTTAATCTTATTACATTTTTTTWATTTCAACTTGAATTTTGTTGCTTTGTTTACCCAAGCTTAATGCACACTTGCTTTTACCTACAAGAATAAACACAAAATTCATGATGATAATTTTCGAGTGACTTTTTGGCTAAACAGCTGATTTTYCCCCTATTCTAGTATAGTTTTGAAATGCATGCAAACTGTCATGCAAACACAGTACTCGGCCAATCAGAACGCGCGTAGTATCTAAGGCAAATATTTAGTGTCAGTAATTTTCCAGACTGATGAAAGCTACGTCATTTAGTTGGACTAGTTCCGCTCCAGYAAATTATATTAGAATCATTGGAACTTTTTTTCACGTTAATTACATCAGATTCTCTAGTCGATTTTATTTTCAAAACATTGCAAGCCAAACAGCAGTCAATCACACAAGGTATGACAAAACTACATATTTCATATATCTAATCTTTCAAGAAAGGTTGACGGAAAGAAAAGCAACAACCATACCACTTCCAAGCTTCTTAATATTAATATGTGTGATCCAGTGCTTTCCACAGTCGCTAATCTTCGTTCTCTCCGACACCATTTCAGAACTAGCTAATTATCCTTCCTTAACTACTTGCAGAGAAGTCTATTTGCTTTTAATTTGATTTTGACAGAGTAAATGCGTTGTGTAAATCTCTGTGACGTTCTGAGGTGAAATCATCTTGACTTCACTACTTATTTCATATCAACACAATGACGCTTTAATCCGCTAATGTTACTTTTACAATTGTCATTACGGGCCAAAATGCCAACTGATTACACTCAAAGTATAAAAACCGAGCTCGTAGCTTAGCGTTGTGGCTGACCTTAGACAACGTGCTCACACAGTTCTAACCTGGTTATATACATTTTGTTTTCCTTAAGGATAAGCGACGTTCTCACACGTGCATCGTGGCAAGTGCCGTCAAAAAATATTAATTTATCCCAAATTTGCGCCTCGTTTCTCCCAAATTACATAAACAATCGGACTAAAATATTCATTTCCACAGAAATCCCTTTGCTTTAATTGTAAACAATATCTTTATCAATCTTTCTGAAAGTCGAAATTTCTTAGCGTTTTAATCTATGAAAACTCTCGACGCATAATCGAAATTTGAACCTCTGGATTACATTATTTCTTTAAAAAGTTATTATATGGTTGGCAGTTCTTATAAGAAATAGCTTGAATTTGTACAATTTAATATGAACAAAATCTTGCAGCATATTTTTTGGGCACTTTTTGCACCCTTCACAACTTGAACATTTAACAGATGATATGATTTGTGCTTTACTGGGTGCCGAGGAAATGTTTGGTGTTAATGAAAGTGACGGATCGCCGGCATATATTTTAAGATCTTTTAAATGAAATCATCTTAGTTCTAACCATCATACGGCGTTGAATCGATAGGACTTTGATAGCAGTTGTAAACGTTAACTTCCAGTCCCGGAAGACGAAGAGACCAAGCGATGCGTAAAGCTTAGATCAATATACGTAAGAGGGTCTCAATGGGGTGGTATGTATCACGACTCACGGCTAAAAATTTGGCTATTTCACCACTCACGACTAATTTTTTCGAATCACGGTTAACTAGATTACTTTCAGAAATTTTTGAAATGAAAACGTTTTTCATTACTTTTTCATGATTTGTTTTGTGCTAGAGATAGTGAGTGTGGGAGCACAGTGTCCCCTTGTACGTTATAGACACTAAGTTATTATAATTTGTGTATCATCACTCTAAAATGCCAAATTTTGGTCCATGCCATGGCTTGTCTGCAGGACCTTTGTGGTAACTGCCTTGTTGGTAGGTGCGTTCCATTAGAATTTTGAGGTGGTGGGGTGGGGTTGTGGAGTGGAAGATTCTGGGAAAAAAATCCTGCACGGCCCGAAGGGCCGAAAAAATTTTTTGAAAAATCTCCACTCAAGCGTTATTTTTTAAATTTACAAAAAAGAAAAAAATACAATCGCGCGTCTGGAGTTAACAGTCCTTCTGAGACTTCCATGAGGAACAAACTGAATCACGGCTCACGCTATAAAAAATATTCACGCCTCACTGATAATTTTTTCTCATTTTCACGACCCACGGCTTATTTTTCAGCCGTTTCACGGCTCACGGTTAACCCCATTGAGACCCTCACGTAATACTTATACCGTGCCAAAAATACATGACAATTCTCCATGACTTTCTAAGCATATATCGTGCACATTTTGGTAGATAATGATGATGATGTATGATAACCATCGCAAATGTCAACGAATATTGAATTGAAACTGCAAATAATACTATATATGGTAATCGGACATTATAAAACCCTCAGAAATGTATTTATATTTTAAACTAGACGCTTAAAAGCGTTTACATGGGCTTCCTTCCTTCGATCGACCAACCATGTGACAACTATTCTTTTGGGATCCTTGTGGTTCAATTCTCAAAGCATCATGGGGGACTATACACGACGTTGATAGATAGATTGATTGAAGAAAAGGTATATTAAGACATGAGATTCCACAGGAAGCCCATGTAATTAGGTCATTGAGACTTGACGATTCGTTAATTATATTCGATAAAGTTTTGAAACACTAGCAACTACATTTTGCAAAAAAAAGGTGCTTTCGGACGATACTAAAGCAAAAGGATTACGATGGAATAGTGTAAAATACTGGTACTTGGCATCTAGACAAACTCGAGGTGACTTTGTCCCTTAGGTTTTTGCATGCCGTATGTACACATCAACAATTACTGATTCTAGCCTACTCGGGCTTCCTGTGTTGAGGAAAGGAGACTAGGAGCGAGCAAAAATAAACAAGAGGGAAGGGGAGGGAAGGAAGAAGGGAGATGTCTACTCCTCACCTCCCTCCTTTCTCTTTCTCGCCTCCAGACCGAACTCTGCCATATCCCTCGTTACCACAGGAATCCCAAAAAGGAGAAAAAGGGGGAAAAAGGAGTAGCTTGCGAAGGAGGCTAGAATGATTCCACTGGATCAAGGGATTTTTCTATCTAAAAGTCTTATTTCTTGAGTTTCAGATTTCGTCCTTTTCCAATTTTTTATGTCTTGAGTTTCTCAAAAAACAAATGTCATTTTGTTCACTCCTATTCCTAAGCCCTATCCCCACAACACCATATATAGCAATGGCACATGATAAATGTTGTATTGATTATTGTTACAGTTTTACTAAATTAGAACTTTATTGTCCAGGGGGATCATGTCCACGAAAGCCCGTCATTCACTAATCGCCCTTGTAGTCTTCATGATGGTTGAGATCTCCGTTCAACGGCAGAGATGCATTTTTGGCAACTACTGTTCTGGTTCGTATGGAGACATGAAGGCCGTCTGTAAAGGCGGTTACTGCTACTGTACTGGGCAGAACTATGGCTATGAATCCTGTTTGCGTAAGTAGTACGATTTGCTTTAGAGGAGGGTCTCAATGGGGTTAACCGTGAGCCGTAAAACGGCTGAAAAATTAGCCGTGAGTCATGAAAATGAGAAAAAATTAGCCGTGAGGCGGGAAAAAGCCAAATTTTTAGCCGTGAGTCGTGATGCGGACCCACCCATGCAGGCCCTGTTAGAGAAACAAAGAATTTCGAAGAAGAATTTTTGAATAAGATTTTCTGCCAACAACAGGTAACCTAAAAAATGCAAAATATGTATATGAGAAAGTAAATCACAAAAGGGGTCTTTAACTTTGGCGGAAATATCTAGACGTCCAAAAGACGCGATTTATTCACTCAGTGAATCAAAAGGTTTATTCTCATCATTGTTCTGTCTGCAAGCAAGGTCTCCGATCAATGGCAGCTTTTTTGATGAGTAATTTCGGCTTTTATTACCAAGGAAAAAGGAAACTGCGGCGTTGTGTTCTGGTCTGTTGCTGCGTTTCTTGCGATCGCTGTAATGGCGATGTGCAGGGCAAAATGAGAGAGTACATCACAAAAGGGGTCTTAACTTGGGCGGAAACATCAAGACTTCCTAAATCCGCGATTCCTTTGTCTCCCTTTTGATTTGTCAGYCCTCATATATATATATATATGCTTACTAAAGCCCAAAACGTCTGATTATTAATATTAATCGGAGCATATTACACGGGCGCGCGGTGATATGGATTTTATCTTCTAGTGTTGAAAAGATCTCTCACGACTGCCGTGAGCGTAAAGCGATTTTCAACACTTGAAGATAAAATATATACTTTGTGTTCGCCTAACTTTTAAAAGCTTTTAGTTGGAATACAAATGATATCTATGGGGGCAGAATGTATGCGTGTGTCTATTCATAATAAAACAGAGTTTTTATTTAAGGAGGCTCCATAGAGTATTTTTAACCGCGCGAAGCATGGGTTCGACCGGCTCGATGGCGCGAGCTTTTAAGGTAACAAAATTCAAAACAAAGATGGCGTCGCGGCATACTTTGTTCACAAATCGTTTTCCCAAAAACACTCGTATTTTAACCCAAATCATCCAGCACTTCAAGTCAATCAATAAAGAATAAATTTAGGTGAAGTAAAACGTATTTTACGTCATGTTTCCCCCAAATATCCAGCGATTACTCGCAGAATTTGGATTCTTTAGCGAATTTTTTCTAGCGTGTCTTCGAGTTCATTGAGCCCGCATTCTTTACTAGCGCATGCGCAAATGCCGATCTTGTAAAATTTTATTTCCGCGAATATCATTAAAAAAATTGATTTTCAACATACAATAAAATAAATTCCCCACGGGCGATTTTCTTCAATTTTGGATATTATTTTATTCGTGTCACTATCGATCATTTTGCAAGTTATAAAATGATTCTTGACATCAGATTTTTTTTAATTCACAAAAAACACTTTTTTCGTTGTTTTAAAAATTCTAATGTGCAGATCCTTTTCAAACMGTTTTTATACACTTGATAATATTGCAAAAAACAACATATTTCAGTTTCAAGAAGATTGCCCGTGCCAATTCTGAATTATTATTTTTCAAATGTCAAATAAGGGCCTTGTTGTAGTGGTCGTACTGTTTCCATGACAACATTCTACCCGGATATTTTTATGTAAAATTATTCTCCAACTATTAGTCATTAAAGAAATAGCTACTTTATGAAAAAAGGCCAAATATCTGGAAAACCTCCGTTTTCAGTAATACTCTATGGAGCCTCCTTAAAGTTGGTGTTTTGCTTAATTTCATTCTACGGACATCATAGATACACTGTAATGAGTTTCTTTTATAATTTCTCAGTTTATACACACACCTAACCAAAACATTCTCCTAATGCCTTTTGTTGTTGAGAGATTACAGCAGAAACCGTTGCATCGCAACTTCAATTTTCAAAAGAAATCGTTAGGATTCAGTCAAAGCAAAYTTCGAAACGAAGAAGTCGCGATGCAACGATTTTCGCTTAACAATATTGAAAGAAAAGACATTTTATTGTATTTTAAATTGCAGGATTTGTTTTGTAAGGTGTATATTTTGTTCGGTTATATATATGGTCATTTCACATGGTTGTGAGTTATTCTATACACCGTTTTGAAGACCTTCACAAAAGGGTTGATTTTTGATATTATTCTGAGATTTTTCACGTCTTTAGCTGATGCATATGGGTGTCGGATCATCATGAATTCCAATAATGCCCTTGGCAAACCACTTTACAACAGGCAACCTCGGACCACCTACAGTTGTACTCCTGGAAAAAGCTCCCCCCGGTACGAAGTACACGTGCTGTCGGTATACGAGGTCATCAACAGACGTCCCCCACGAGCAGGCGATGCTACTGTGAATATCGTAAGCCAAGGAAATCCAAAGAGATCAATTATACTCGTACTAGCAAGCTACGAACCTGTCAASTGGATTCTCAATCTACCGACAGGGTTAACTATCAGTAAAGTGATTCTGGTAAGCGATCAACAGAATAATTGAGTTGCGCGAKTCTCTCAGAAAGGTTCGCATATATAATGATTGAGAGAAAACAATGAACCGGAAAAAACAACAACAACAAAAACACACCTCCAAACAAACACAACAATATCAAAACGTTTTTATTGTCAAAAACGGTTTGTATTTATGGTCAAAAACGGCTTGTTTAGTTTCCTGGAAAAAATTCTTAGAAAGTTGTCCTTTGCCTGGAGAGGTTTTATTTCTAAATTTCTCGCTGCATGGCAACCAGTTGTGACTTACAGCTGGCTGGGACATAAGAACAGATATATTTCTCCCAGGAAACCGTCGGCTCCTCCTGTGTAAACAGGCCTTAACAAGTCGAGCATCGTTTTGGTAGTATCGTCGTGCACGGGAAATTACCTCAAGGGGAGTTTATTGTAATGTAAATGTGCCGTATGCAAATTATTCCGATGATAATTCGTGTACACTTGGATCGTTCTTATATATATGTTAATTATTTAGTGAAATGCTAATGAGAATTGTTTAAATACTAGAAAAATAGGAGTGCAAACAAGCGAATTCACTCGTGGCGTAACCGGTTAATGATCGGATAGGTCATATTTAGCGTTCGCAGGTTCGAATCTTATCTTCCGGGTCAATTTTTTTCTAAGTGAGAAGAACCAAAATCCTCAAAATAAAAGTCCCACTCGTGTGTTCGGAAACATATAACGTACTTGGCTACACGGTACACAACGATAGTACCATCGTTTTTAAATGTGTCCTCTTATTGACACACTGTTTTATAATGTTTCAAAATCAATGTGAACAAACAAGCACTGCTCAAGACCTTCCTCCTCAAATGAGATCGTTTGAGAAGTAAACATATTAAATTATCTTTGTGAATTTCTACGTCATGAGCTTGGATTAATTGGTATCATGACTGAGCTACGAAATCAAATTTTAATTATGTTTAGTGAATTCAGTTTATAGCGGAAAAGTAATGTATACCATTAGAACGCAAATAACAATAAATGAAAAAGTTCATTTAGAATATATCATTTAGAATCCTAGTTAGTCAGATACTTTTGTAAAGCGGGATCAACAACTTCTGTTTTTGCCCTGGCATAACTGATCTCATATTACCGCAATTTCTACTCTAATTATTGACTAGAAACTSTTATTATAGGTTGCTTTTTATGCGGTTGAGAGTTCTGTTACAGGAGACATCATCGGCCAAGTGCAGTCCATTGAAAAAAGACAGACGCGATGGGATTCAGGATTTGGCAGTGATTCCGGGGGAGGCAATACACCAAAGCTTCTCAAGTAAGTAATAAACGGAACACAGTACATTCAAATCGACCAAGCAAAGCAGAAATGACTTGATCACTTTTATATGTACCTACCGTTGATTTTATACAACGGATAAAACAATAAGGATATTAATTCATGACTTTCATAAAAAATTGAGAAGAGGCAGCATGCATTGCAAACTGTCACGGCATGCTGCTTGTGACTTGCTGGATTGTTTATATTATTGTAAAAATATTGTCGTTTTTGGATATTTTGGATGAATATATTTAAATCGCAAAATGGCGCAAAATTGAAGAAAAGAGGAATGCATAGAGCTGTGCAGGACGATCAAAATATTATTTAAAATTCAAGA